AAGATCGTCGCCAACCTACTGCGCCTGTACGAGGGCCGCAACGATTTAGAAGCCGCTATTGCAGTCAGTTACTACTTTTATTGTTATTATTTTTTTATATAAGGACTATTTTTCGCCCAAACTAAATAACACTTCATTTATACGTTCACCTACGTTACCTTTTACTAATCCGAATACGTTAAATTCGACATTAATAATATGGTGGCAAGCACATTTTTTGCGCCAAAAATTCTAGCGATCAATAGTTATTTTAATTTTATTTCGTAATGGCCATGTATTTTGCCTCTGTTGCGCTCGGTGCTAAACGATAATGCGATCTAAGATGGAACACGCCTACCCATAAGCACTCAAGTCACTCGGGCCTTCAAGAAAGACAGACGCCGCAAAGAATTCCTCTCCTTAATTGGTTGATTGATTATATTGATGGGGAAAATTATTAGTACTAAGTTAAGCAAAGTTAGTGATAAATATTTAAATAAGTCTCGCCTCAGAGAGCAATAAACTTTTTGATGTTTTTACCTATGTTAAATAACACCATGTTTGTAGCTTGTGCGCGAAACACTATCGGGTCTGCGGCCTCTGCTATGTAGCGAGGACATGGAGGTGCAGGAGCGTGCCCACAACGCGAGCGCGCTGCTGGCGCTGGTACTGCGCCGCCTCAGCCCCGACGACGCCGCCCTCGCCGCGCTCCCAGACTCCACGCAACCAGACACCGCGCGACCTGACACCATACTCGTCGAACATCAACACACGTATGTGACTTATCTACTATTTAAAAATCGGCTTTTCCTTCCCAACGCTATAAAGCACGAACCGATTTCCACTGTTGATTTATAGCAAGGAAAATTTCAACAGAAAAGCGGAAATTTGAAAAATGTAAAATCGACAGTTAATATAATAAAACATCATGACGAACACCTTGAATAAACCTACTGCAGCTTGTATATAATCTTGTAGCTTGAATATAATCTTGAATGCCGTACGGAGCATAGAAAAACCTCGCTCCTAGCTTGAACCTGTTTTTGAACGTAGCTCTTATATTCTAACACGTACTGTTACAGGGATGACCTTGAAAAAGAGGATAATCTCGACCCCATAAACGGAGAGAGTTCATCTCCGGGCTTCAGCGGTGGCCTGATCGAAGAGCTGGCTGATCTGTTCGACGGGGAACTGAAACCGGTGGCGCCCAAAGCACAGAAGAAGGTGCCGATGCCTGCAGAGTATGTATCACTTCCTTAAAATACCTACCACAATAAAATGTTAAAATATCTATCTGTCATGTAACCGCCGTGAAACAACCACAGCGTTGTGTTTTGCCGTGTGAGTGAGGTGAACGGAGGCCCAATCCCTCCCCTTCCCATATCCCTTCCCAATCCTTAAGTATCCGAAACATTTGTCCGTTAAAAACCGGCAACGTACTCGTAACTCCTTTGGTGTTGCGGGTGTCCATGGGCGGCGTTGATTGCTTACCATTAGGTAATCCGTCTGCTCATTTGCGTCGAGCTATATTATAAGAATTCCAGTATCATAATGTCGTGTTTGAGCGGTAAATAACAATGATTTCAGCTTGAACCTCGAGCAATGGCTGTCACACGACCACTGGTCGTCGGAAAGTTCTAGCTCGGAGGGCGAGGCTGAGGCCGCGGTGTTCGCTGCGCCACAGAAAGACGCACGACCTACCGCACAGTTCACGCCAGAGGAACTTGCCATGGTACGTTTATACTTGGAATTTTCACCTTACAGAATATCGCGGTCATAGAACTTACTTCTAAGTTCACAAGACGCGTCACGATCTGCGCGAACACTGAAAGATTGATTCAGAAACCAACTTTATATTGCACACGACAGATTGATTCAAAGACAAGGTATAAATTGTATGCAGAGTGTCTAGCGGCGAACGGTGTATAAGAGTGCTTCACTGACCTCTTACAATATCTTAATCTTACCCCTCGCGTCTCGGTGTGGATTGACTCTAAGAACTATTTTGTTTGTGTATAGAACAGTTTTAATACTTCTATTTTTAAGAAAAACATTAATTCTCACAGTTTGTCCATTGAACTAATTTTATCACAGTTTTGTTTGTAATACGCAACCATAATAATTAGGATGTTGATTCGTTAAGTTATAATTTCTTGTTAACCACTTTAGCTACGCGAGGCCCGAAGACAGGAGCAAGCAAACAACCCACATTACCTGAAGGATGACTCGCCGCGATCCTATCAGCAAGACGATATACCCATTGCTGAAATAGCTCTCGATGTCCCACTACAAGTTCATAGTAAGTATAATTATACCGTTTTTTTATAATGATGGAAAATCTTCAAGTGAATCCTTCCGTCTTAGGCGGACCCCAATGTCAGACAAGCAGTATCAGGCTATTGCGGACGTAAAACTGTACAAGTTTTCCGTCGTTTGATGCAATTAAAGCACATTGAAATTGTAAACACGATAATAATTCTTGTTTTTTTTTTCCTTTTCAGCCAAGAGATCTGATAAATATTTACTGTCACGAGAGAATTCAAGCAAGAAAAAGAAAGAAAAACGAACGTCAAAGAAAAGGAAAAGCAAAAAAGACAAACCATCAAGTGACTCCGATAGTGAAGGTAACGTCATAGATGAAATAAAAACTCACTGAGAAATGATTAGACTGTTATTCATAAGTATTGTTACAATACGTCAACTTGTTGTTTGTTTTCATTTGTGATATGATGTGGTGCAAACGAGCAGATCTATAAACTGATGATAAGCAATCGGCGCCGCTCGGACACCCGCTACACCAGAAGAGGTACGACTCCGTTGCTAGCCTTTTGCGACATAGAGTTTCGAAAAAACCTCTCAAACACAGAGAAAAACAACGTTGACTTTGTTTCATGACGGTTTTCTATGACGCCTTCGTTTCACTTCGGTCGACTTAATACGATTGTGTCAAACATGGCTATATCGCACTTTAACTTTATATACACTTTATCGTACTCGTAAAATAATAAATATGCATACTAAGTAATTTATTACTATAGGTAATCATGGCGTTGAATTCTGCTACTATTCAACTTTTTTAAATTATAAGTTTTTATTATTTTTAGAAGAAGCAAGCCTCAGTCGGCCGGCCGTGGCGGAGGGTGGGGAGCTGCCCGAGGGCGCGGCGCTGTCCGACGAGGAGCCCGCGCCGCCCCCTGACGACCCCCACCGCGCGCTTGACCTTGATCTCGATCAGTAAGTGTTTCTGTCTACTAGTAACCACTTTTATTGTTGTTTAATCATCATCTAATGATGGTTGTGTTCTCAACAGGCCGCTTCGTGAAGAAGAACTACTCACGTCAAGAATAAATCAGTATCCGTCTCCCGAAGGCGGCTTATTGACAAAGAAGTCAAAATCGTCAAAGAAAAACAAATACGCTGATAAAGGCTCCGGCGACAAAGCGTCAAAGAAAAAGAAGGAAAAGAAATCTAAGCAAAAGTCAGTAGATTTAATGCTACCAGAAGTAGCTAAGGATGAAGTAGAGGAAAATCTGCTTATTGATGATTTAAGTCAGACAAACGGCAAGAAATCTGCGAAAGGCAGTGAAGTGGAGGAAGCTATACTCGTTGAACCCCACCCAAAGGGCACTAAGACTGAAAAACATAAAAAATCTAAGAAAGAATCAAAAGACAAAGATTCTAAACGGAATAAATCATCATCTAAGAAAGGTAACTAAACTTCCAAACGAAGCTTATATAGCGTATAGCGTATTGCGTATCTACCGGAATGTTGATATGCTGACTAATGGATCATTCACTTTACAGGTAAACACGATAAGAAGACCGGGTATGAAGAAGCTTTAGGTATATCTACACCTAGCAAAGAAGTCATTTAGTGTACATAATAAGTAAATTGCTTGATTTCCTTAATTGATGTCACGCTATACATGTCTCAGTGCAATTGTTAATTTGAACAATTTAAGAATATTTTTATTGAAGATTAGTTCAACTCCAATATGTATTAGTTTAAACTTATTCATATTTGAAAGTGATCTATGTCCATTTATATGAATATAAAATATAATATTTCCATAAGTCTATATAGTAACAAATAAAAAGCTAAATATGTTAATCATATAAAGTTTTATTATTGGTAAAAAATGTTAATTCATGTAAACATGTACATAATTGGTCGTAAAAACCACTAAAATGATGAAAAATATATCAAAGGTTGAGATCATAAAATAATTGTAAAATGTACCTACACAATATACACCAACAATCTATATTTATATTTAAGTTCCAGTTTAGTCTAACATAACGATATATTTACATCATACATATATTAACATCATAATGGAGTGCAATGAACGCGGGACGTATACGTATACGCACTTTTATACGATTTAATACACATACATTTAAAATATACAGGTTTCTGCTATGAAGGTGGTATCTTAAATCCCATCCAACTGGCTTACTTAGCGATTTAAATGAAGGTCTAAATACCTAGCCTTTTGATTGAATGGATGAATTTATTATTCACGTTGAAGGTATTAAAACAAAGATGCGTACAGAATGGTTATCGGTATTGTTAGTTTCGGTGAGGCGATGGTGGAGGTGTGTTGAGGTAGCAATGCGAATCACACGAAAATCGTTGTCAGAAATAAGCGTCCGTTAATTATTTTAAACTCGTTGGCTGACAAATGTACAGGTACATTTAATTTCCACCTATTTATGGGGTAAAATTAAAATATCTAAACATTATAATAGAAATTTTGGTCCCCCTTTCTCCCCTTCATATAAACAAAACTACGTACTAAATTTTAAGACAATGAATAGTTAAGGGTCATTTAATGCATTTTTATTTTACCTTACAAAACATTTTAGACAGTCATTACTTAGTATAAAAACACCCAATAGGTACGTCTTTTAAGTAAGTATACAAAAACCTCAAAAATGATTTTATGATTTAAGGTTTGTTTCATCAATAGGTATGTACATATACACTTGATATATTTTATTGTCCAACGCCAAATTTTATTTGATTCAGGTCGAAATGTTAGCTTGAAAATTGTATGATAGCATTATGATACAAGATAATTTGTATAGACTCAGGCACCAAGACGCGTTACTATCACTTGGACTTTGAACTGCGGTGACGGTGATGAATTGTTGTGACCCTGGCTATAGCATTACTGCAGATATTCTTTCGTTTGAGGGAGGGACAAACGGAGCTATGCGTCTTCTTAAGTCTTGAGCATACATTGCTAAGGCCAGGCGCAGATCCTCCCTCATCTATACGCCTCTTGCTTGTTATAGTTACCTGTAACATCGTTGATTAACATTCCTCAGTTAGTATACCTATTGTTAATTAAGTATTTAGATATGTATATATACAATACGATGAAGACGTTATATGAATTGTTCAAGAGCTGACATTTGCATTAATCGTTATGAATAAAAATTAACTATTATTAGTCCGATCGACAAAACTTTAACCAAAAGTACCTAGTTACTATTGCCTGCCTTTCTCCGATTAAGCGCACGAAATTTAGTAATAAAATATATTATGCAAAATGTTGCGTCGCCGACTAAAGTATTATCAATTTCAAAATAATTTCTACATTTACGTAAGAGTTTACTTAAAAAATTAGCACATCTAGACTTGTGTGATATGATAATAAACAAAACATGACATAAGTCTCCGGTGTTCATCTCAATCAGGGTTAGATATGCCATTTATCACGAGATTGATGTTTTGTTTTATTTTAGATTAGGAGAATTTCGGCGTTCTTCATTCTTTAGTACGATTATGGAACTATTGATTTTTTTTACAGTTGTTCGACCGTCGAATTAATGGTATAATACCCACTACATACCAAAATCATTTTTTGTTGCCTATTTTGAATGTCGATATATAACTTGTTATTTATTTCGCAAAACGTTCAAGTAACTAAATGGTCGTTAGTAAAATATATTCAGGTACTATTTTTTCACATCACACACAGCATCACACTTTATTCCTTTGGAATTGCAGGTACAGTCAGGGGTGATAAATGCAATTACACTCTACCAATTTTAAAGTGACTAAAATTTCTTTATAGTAGAAGTTCAATGGTTCACAGCCAGTTTATTCAATAATTTAGATTCTATGCTATAAATTAAAGCAGTCCTCAACCATTGACTCTATTCTACAAAGATATTTTGGTCATTTTAAAATTAGTAGAGTGTAATTGCATTTTTGACCCCTGACTGTACATAGGATATGGTGACAATTTTCCATGAAATGGCATTATTGCCGTTGCTAGCGTGATGCACGTACTTGACAGTATGTAGGTAATCCTGCATGGAGTTACCAGTCACGTAAAAGCTTTGTGATTGTGTCTATCATTTAGATTTTTTGTTATTTGTATTGGTTTGGTAATTTAATTTTATTTTGGGACATATTTTAATTTGTCGATACAAATTAAAAGTACATGATATACATACATGTATAGCACGACGATTATTAGGTACTCTAGAAGGTAAAATATAAAAACAACAATACAGATCTAAAATAATATTTATTAAATTAGTTTATCCTTCAAAAGAAGCCAAAAATAAATATTTATACTGTAATACACTAAACATACATATTTGGATTTGACTGTTGATATCATGTTGTACTTTACTATTTGAAAAAATCTCCATGGAGATCCTCAACATGGTAAATTAAAATAAGTAACTATTTACAAATAAACATACATACAGTACACAATACTAATTATTGCGTCGTTACACGTCTCATATACCTTCTACTGACAAAGGCGTACTTAAAAGTAACAATACATACAATGATCGTAAATTAATAGCTAGGCAATTAAAATACTTTTCTCGATCGATTTACGTTCGCGATAATAAAATTATAGCAAATTACAATTTTATAACAACTTGAAGCATTTTAACACTTCACTACAACATCAATGCTTTTATAACAATAGTTCTTATGTGTGTAATATCGAACATTTTCACTTATACTAAATGTGGTTTAATAAATAGAAATCAATGAATTACATGTATTTATCTAATTGGCTATAATGCAACCAGTTCGAAATGACAAATCTGATCAGTAACTCACTATCAACTACATAATGGTTGAATAAATGAGTTTGTTCTTAAGTGCAGTAAAAATCTATGGATAGGGTTAATAAAGTGCTATATAGTTCACATGTAGATATCACAAAGTACTTCAGCATATTCTTGTTCATGTATAAATATAACTAATATACATATTAACATGGGTGGTAGACTGCAACTATGTCATACAGTGTCAGTTCTGTGAAATGAGTAACATTAACTGCAGCATGTTTATACATATGTTGGCTTGTTTAACATATTTCTACTTTGCAAGTGTAACTAATTAACACTTTTTGATTATCCTGAAATGGAGTTGTAAGACTTTGAGTTTGTTTATATTTAATTGAGGACTGATTGGATATTATTCTCAATCATCTTCTGGCCATAGACAAGCATAAGTTGTTGCCAATAAACATCTTCTATGTGGCTGGAACATGCTTTATCATTTCAAAAGATAACATGATCATATGATGTGTAACATGCCACAATTAATGAGTGACAGCTGGTCAAATGAAAGTGTGGGTTGGACTACTACCAAGCATTACAATCATTTGTATCATATTATAAACAGCAAGATAGACTGGATTACGTTATACAACAATGATGACCAATTAGATAGAAATGGTAAAGATTATGAAAATACTGCATTACTTTTACTTCTCCAACATATACTTAGGGATGTCAAATTTCACCTCAACTCCAGCTTTCTTGGCGAGAGACACAATCTCAGCGAGCTGTACCACAAGCTGGGCAGCTTCGTCGAGATCGTCACGTGGCACCAGACGTAGTCCAGATTCTGCTATCAGTTTTCTAGCCTCATTGACTTTTGTACCCTGTACAAAACGATTTTCGTTAGACTAGACCCATAATTCTAATAATACAAACAGACACATCATATACCAGTCCACTCTTTTAGGTAACAAAAGACTGTATTCTATGTGTATGTATGTGCTATATACATATAAGAAAAATAATATACCTGGAGACGGACAATGATGGGCAGTTGAATGTTAAGGTTCTTGGCAGCCGTCACAATACCTTCAGCAAGAACGTCACACCTCATGATACCTCCAAAAATGTTCACCAAGATAGCTGTTACACTCGGATCCAACAGGATGATTTTGAAGGCTTCCTGAATGTGATATTAATAAGTGATTAGATAAGAAGACATATCTCATATTAATACAAAACACGTAATAAAGAAAAATATGTACCGCTACAGCTTGCGCAGTAGCGCCACCGCCGACGTCCAAGAAGTTAGCGGGGTCACCACCGTGTAACTTGATAATATCCATTGTAGCCATGGCCAATCCAGCGCCATTCACCATGCACCCAATAGTACCTTAAAAAACAAATATTTTATTAATGCAAATTGTACTAGTATTCAATTTTACACATAATTATATACATAATATCTTTGCAGCATACCATCAAGTGCAATGTAGTTCAAGTTATGTTTAGCAGCTTTGACTTCCTTAGGATCTTCCTGGGTCAGATCTCTCAAACTGAACAGTTCTTTTTGTCTGAAATCTGCATTGTCGTCGAATCGGAACTTAGCATCCAAGCAGAAGACTGAAACAAGTTATTAATTATTAAAATAATGCTCTACATCTACAATAAATATTAAATATTCATAAACATTGAAATTACTTGTACAAGAAACAAAGGCCACCAAGTACCTACTACATTATCGAGACTTTGTATGGAGACACATGTCCATTCCTGATAATTTTAGACTTTCATTTATTGCGCCGTACATCCTCTACTTTTATTATGTCGACATATTTATTATGACTATAACTTTCGTAAATATATATCTATTTATATATAACTAATATAATTATGTATGTTTTTAGTATTCTAGCCAATTGGTAAAAAGAAACACTTGGATTTGGCATGACCATAATTATAACACAGCAACTTTTTTCCGAAACTGTAAGAACTTAACTGTAAAATTTTGGTAAAGTAGACGTAAATGTGAGTGGCATGATGATTTTTGTGTTACTTCCTTTCCATTTAGGGGTTTCCCATATTTAGAACTTACACCAACAAATTCCCAAATGTGTGAGGTGTGTCATGTAAATTTGTAAATTTTCAGTTTTTTTACCTATGGTTAAGGAACTTCAAAAATATGGTGTACAATGCAAACTTTTACATTAATATTGGTTTTAATCATGGCCAAACCGAGTCAGACTTGGCAACTCTTGTTATAACTTATTTATTACAATTGATGGAGTTTTAATAGAATCTTTGAAGTTCCAGGCAAGAGTTTGATAAGCAGTTATCACTTTCCACAACTTCTACTTGCTATCATCAACTAATTTATTATTTCCTGTCAATAGACAGATGACCTATTTATATAATGATAGTTGATTAAATGCTAAACGGATCAATTGATTTGTCCTTTATCATTTACAAGAATATTTTCTGCCTCACACCTTATTATGTTATTATACAGACTACACTTTGTTATTATACAGTATTACTTACATTGGCCAGTAATAGCATCTTCAGCGTATGGGTTCACCTCAATCAGAAGTGCATCTTTCTTCTGGAAGAGGTCATACATCTTTTTTACCATATCATGTGCTTCTGCAGTTTCCAAACCAATCTGAAAAAAATATTGAAGTTACATATTATTATCAATTTTCATTCTTAAAAAACAGCTTATTAATTTAGGGTTTAATGTAATAATCGCTTATAAAAGTAAAATAAAAAAAAAGAATTAAAAATACCTTTTTCAAAACACGTGTGATCTGGTCATCTTGAATACCAGTTTTGATGTCAATTGGTTCATAGGTGATGGCTTCAGGGTTCGTGGCTGCGACTTCCTCGATGTTAACACCACCTTGAGATGATGCAATAATGACAGGGCCCTGAAAACAAAGTAGGAGTAAACCACTTTAAGGCACAGTATGCAATTTAAATCATTCAAAGTTTAATGACCCATGACCTTGAACCATGCAAATCAATAAATATTTTGAATTAATTATTTTAATTACATACATTAAAGCTGCGTTCCATCATAATGGCGATGTAGAACTCTCTGCGTGGGAATTTGCGCTCGGTCACCATGACTTTGTTGCAGATGCGACCCGCAGCACCAGTTTGCTTCGTTACTAGGTATTGGTTGAGCATTTGGCTTGCTAACTTGCCAGCAGTTTCAGGTCTGTAGGCAAAATGTTATTTTAATGATGTTTATATATATTATATAAATAAGTATTTATGTAAACTTTATTATGTACCTATGTATGCAAGTTACTTACAATATCATCAACTCACCATAATAAATGTCAAATACATAGTTTTATGCTCATGACAAGCATTATCTAGATGCAATCTAATTATGAACATGATGATATTGACAACCGAGACAACATGAACAATACCTCTCTACCCAGAGATTGATGATTGTAATCACTCATCTTTTGTTTTCAGATTATTGCTAATTTAAGATTTATGTTCCAAGTAGAAGAGTACTTACGAATCAACCATTTTGACTCCACCCTGTAGGCCACTTTTGAAGTGACCTTTTCCTCTGCCTCCAGCCAGTACCTAAAATCGGAACCATTGTTTAGTAGATATATTGTATTAATTATGTAACATAAATATTTAATTATATATAATATATTCACCTGAGCTTTGAGCACAATGTCTTTTGTATTGAGTTCTTTGGCAAACTTGACAACTTCTTCAGGTGTGGTAGCCACATGGAACTTGGGTACAGGAATGCCATGGTCTCGCAACAATGTGTAGCTTATGTACTCATGGACATTCAAGTTACGGACTTGTTGTTGACTAGGGTGATTTAGAGATGCAACCAATAACTAGGAATAAAAAGAAAAAAATAATTATAATTCAAGATAGAATTCACCTTAATTCTTACAGCAAGTGATAATATTGAACATTAATAAATGCTCACAAATTGGAATAGTTGTTATAGCAAGGTTTGTTGTATAACAGTTTTATCATATTGCAGTATTCTTATTTTACTAGACAATCTTGACATCTTATATAAACAAGAGTAAAGTTTTCACCAAGTTTTATCACTGAATAATAAAATCTGATAACATCTAATCACAATACAGTTGTTTAGTCATTCATACATATAGGTATTATTTTTTGCATATAAGCAATATGTGAATCTGACTTTCGGTCTAGAGTTAAATGAGTAGAAAGTTTTCATTAACCCCACTGAAAATGAACTTATGGTAATAATTTGGGTGCGAATAGAAAAACCCTCTTGTAATATACATGGAAATACAATTCAAATGCTACTAACATTAACATGTACTTTTCAAGATAACTAAATGTGCAAACTAAGAGTGTGACATATATAAATCAGATAATTACTACAGCAAAGATTGAACTTTGTACAAATTCAAACATGTGACTATAGAATGTATTTTATGGATTATCATTTCTTGGTGAATCATTTATTATAAACATTGATCAATTTTATCACAAATAGAAATCTGAAATTTGGAAAGTAATTTCATAGTTAATAATCTGTGTCTGTCTAATGCTTCTTTTTAAGGTGATAAACTAAACTGTTTTTGATACAATTTGGTACAATAATAATATGAAAACAATTACCTAACACAGTTTTTATATAAGAAATCCCAAAGAAAAAGGGATATTATATTCTATTACGGATATATAACTATAGCAAACTAAGATTGATTTTAAATCACAATATGTGTATAACTTTTTTAAGCACAAGAAGGAATTGCTTGATAAAGGATATTCACTGAGACATAAACAGATAAATCAAGTGTGACAGCTTTTATGAGAAAAATCATATGGAGACTAATTTATAATCTACAATTACTCACAGTAAAGTACTGAATTGATTTGGATGAAATGTGCCACAGCTGTAGAATAAACTTAGGCAAAGTAGTAAGAAATCCAATAAGAATAATTTTTTGTGCATCTGTTATGTTAGAACATATGGATTCATTGAAAACATACCTACAAGAGTGCATAAGTAAATGGTATGTTTTTTACATATTTTATGTGTATTTATTTAAAAAAACTAACGAATTTGCTATGAAAATTACGTTCTTTACAAACGTACTGGCGATGACGTAAGGTCACAAAAGCTGAAAATGACAAGGTCAAATTTATAAATAAAATTTCTATTTGCTATCAAGGTCTATCATTAAATGAAGTGAAAAACATATAGGTGAATATAAGCGCATAATATGCAAGCACAATCACACCATTAATTAAGAATATTTTCAGTCCAATTGAACTATTCCGTCCAATTGAACCATGTCGATTTTCTAATTTGTTTTTACATACATCTATGACAGGAAGTCAGTATTTTGGACCGAAACGGTAAAAACGTATTTTTATGGAGATACATAATAATTAAAGACACTTTTACAATTACCTTACTTCCATTTTTAAACAGAAGAGTTTGGGCAAGACCTAAAGGACGGGGAAGAAGAGTCGCCATTTTTGCACTACCACCGACTACAGACAGAATCAGCAGTCTTCAAAAATCAGATATGTCAAGTTTTGTGCAATGTTGCCAACTTTATTTTCAAAAGGATCGTACCACAGATGGCGTTAATAATGCTGGGGCTACACGAACGAACTGTTTATGTCAATAAGCTACAATAGCGTGTGAAGTTAGAAACACTATTGTTGGCGTGACATGGCAAGTCGTGTGCGAATGCTCACCGTAGCACGGGGCACGACACAATACACGGTGCCACTCAAGTCTTGTTTCTTTTTAACCATAGAGAATGCATAAAACCGATAGGCTTCTAGCGCGACACGACACGCCATTATAATATATTTCAGTCCTTATCCACGTATTAGGTACCTATGTAGGTTTGCCGAATTTGGGTTTGATGTGTTTGTAAACACACCTACAGCACAGGAGTAGAAGACAAGAATTCACCATTCATTGTTGATTCACTATATTTGTGTATACTCTTTGTATGGAAGGCAGAAGGAAAGAGAACTGTCTTAGTTTGAAATGCGTTCAATTCTGGTAGCGCTACAGTAGCAACAGGTTAGGTACCTATATTTTCAAATTCGGCTACCTAGAGTTTATATCACTAAAGGTCAGGAAAACTTTTAAAAAAGATTCCGATTTCATGTTATAAATACGGATATGAGTGCTGCCGGGCTGAAGTCAACTGCAGAGGCCCGTTGAACAACTTTAAGTGAAAAGGGACATCAGTCGGTAATTATCCTTGTACCTATGTGCTATGAAAGTGAACCCAAGGATAATCTCCGGTTGATGCAGGACTATTGCGAAATGTGGTAATAATTAAAATGTTATGGGTATGGGTTGCTATGAACTGATGGATATGATAACTATGGAAATACTATGGCCCCTGCCCCTGACCAATATTGATACATAGGGATAAACAGGCAGGGGGGTGTGTATTTATTTTGTGCTTGCACAAAGAACATAAACTACCTACAAAAGTAAACATTTTTTAAGGTGCACGTAATGCGCTTTCATTTGAGACCCCACTAGAGCATATTTATAGACTCACCCCCCCCCCATCTTTGTTAGGAAAAAATACTTAATTGAAATCGTTTCATCCGTTCAGGAGCTGTGATGCAACCACATGCAGACACACAGACACGTCAAACTCATTAAAATTGTTGTTTTTGTGAAGTACAAGTCATAACCTTTCATTTGATACCCCCTTGAGCATATTTGCAGGCATTCGGTTTTTCTTCCCCACTTTAACCCCCCATAACTTTTAAAAGGCTCAACTGATTTTCATCAAACATGTCTAAGAACACTCGCCCGTAAAACACCTGTAATACAAAGAAAACTTAATTGAAATCGGCCCATTCGTTCAGATATATTATTAACAAATATCACTATATCATATTGAATATACACTTACTTCAATATGAAATATTGTTCTGGAAATGTAGTATCAAGTAAATTTTTAAGACACAGATCTGCGTATTCTCCGCAAAAAAAACTGACGTTGGTCGTATCTCTAGCTACTTCAGAGCACCCCCCTAACAGCCGGTACCTAATGGGATAGTACTTGGTTCCGACATCTTAAACGAAGTCCAGTTCCATGGTCACCTAGAGGGAAAGGCCAAGTTAGCCTCGAAGAAGCTGTATGAAGTGTCTAATAGATTGAGGCAATGTTTATCCGGGGAATCGCATACTTTACCTACTTGGCAAAAGTTCGGTCCAATACTGCAGTAGGTACTCATCTTTGGGCGGGGCCACCCCAGTACCTACTTACCAGCTTCTCCCTCTGAACCGCATTCAGCGACAAGCTATCCGAATCGTTGACTACCCTGTTATTTCGGACCAGTTTGACTCTTTGGCACTGCGTAGGGATGGAGCCTCGCTATGTGTTCACCGGAGCGAAAGGACGCGTCACGCGGCACGCGCCCTATTATAGCCTCGCGACATCGCGACGAACGGCGAACGCAACGGCGCATGCGCGCAGCCGCTCTGTCGAGCCTTGCGACGAACGCGCGCTGCTATTGGTCAATTGTATTTACATATGTGTGATAGTGTATAAGTTAGCCATAAGACATGTAAATATAAGTAGGGATATGTTGCCGATTAAAACATTCCAAACCACGACAGCCTTTCATTAACAAGAAGAACAAGAAGAAACCCTGCTCTCACTCCTAAACATATATCACGGGGAGTGTTCTGAGGAATTGTTCGGTTTGATCCCCGCCGCATCTTATCGCCATCGTTCTACGGGAAAACGTCACAGATAGTTGGCAGTCAACAACTGTGCGATTGCCGCGAAACTTTCTGCCCGCACAACAGAACTGGCGGCGGTATCACGGAACCGATATGACCTTCAAACCTTCAAGATACGAGCGAATTCCTTCTTAAAAGGCCGGCGACCCGCCTGTGACTCCTCTGCTGTTGCAGGTGTCCATGGGCGAGCCAGGACGACGGAGTGGTTTTTAGTCAGTAAGAGTCTGACTCTCCTTCTTGCCCCACCCTGTACAAAAGAATCACTAAAAAAGAGTCGTCATTAAATAATAGAAGTATAAAGTAGGTATGTATCATGATGCTTCGCTAAATAACCAATGCCCTGGCAAATCTGGGGAAGTGGGGACGACCTGTTTAATTTTTTTATGCGATAGGTCGACAAACGAGCAAACGGGTTACCTGATGGTACGCAATCAGCGTCGCCCATGGAAATCCGCAACGACGGAGAAGTTAGGAGAGCGTTGTCGACCTTTTGGGGATTAGGGATTTGGATATTTTGGGAAAGGGAAACTTCACTCACACGGCCAAACACAGCTCTTTGGTTATTTAACGCCGTTTCTGTGAGGCCGTTGTATTACTCCGGTCGAGCCGATTCTATGCGGAAGTTATGCCATCAAATATGAAATACCTACTTAGTACTTAGTTTTTTTTACTATTGATATATAATAGTAAAAAAAACTTCTTTGCTTCCTTTTATGAAGATCACCATCTCATATAATTTTCAATCACAAGTATCTTCATTGCCACCATCAACTTATCAACCTTTTGGCTAAATTCTGTCTTCAATTAGTGTATCTAATATAATATGTAGGTAGTCAAATTCAAATTATTTATTTTTTAGGTAGGTATGTTCTCGTGGTGTATATAGATTAAATAATATGAATTGTTCTTTAGGTATCCACATCCTACTATGGCGTAGCTATCCACGCGCGCTTCAATAAGTTAATAGACCACCACAGACAGAACCCTACAGGACAGGAACAATGTTGGCGCGCCGGTCGGCGAATTACCGCGGCCTCGATCTAAAACAGAAGGAATGGGGGGTTTTAAGTCAGTCAGAGTCCGACACTCCCTCTCGCCTTACCTTAGGCAAGAGAAGTAATTTGATGATTTTCTCCTCACGAAAAAAGGTATCCACATATAGGTGCCTTCATAAAACCGAATCTATTTTATTGTATTTACTAAACTTATGGCACGTTCAGCTACTAGCATTACAATAATACCTCTAACTACCTAAAGATTGTGCTAAAGATTAACCAACAGTACTTACTCGTCTCTACTTGCCGCCACTTGAAAATTAAAAAATATTTCTTCCATCTGATTTAGGTTTGTGAAAAATTGCTTCCCTGCTTTAGTTGCGGGTACGTTTACAAACAATACATATTTACAATTTCACAAATTTTTGGGCCACCCAGACACAAAGTAACAACTTGTAGATTACCCAAAGAGTTGTTCCATTTGGGAATCGAACCCGCGAACCCGTTGCTACCGCGTCAAACAGTCAATTCAAAACTCTGTGATGTAAAGGTGCATAATAAAACTAAAAATGTTTTTAAAGATTTATTATAATTGACTACTGAGTACTTTTTTTTCTTCTAATTTGTCTGACCCTTTATTTTTTTCCTCAGCCCAAACGCCATTTCCAGAAAAATAATGTTTCTTCTCTAATAAATAAAGCACTAAACTTAATTTTTGACTCTTACTCAGTGCCTGATAACTAAAATTTTCCTGAACTGTGGGTATTTGTTCTTGTGTTATTTTCTTTTCAATTACATTGAGTGCTGCACATATTTTCTTCCAAGGATATAATAGTATGGGACAATTTTCATAAATATCTTGATCAGAAAATTTAATAGAAAGATGATCATACACAGATTTGACTTGAAGTACTGGAGTATTAATCCAGTAAGGATGTCTTTTGATTAAATTGCGAATGTGTGTAACATTAAATTTCTTTCCAAATGACTGAGATATCCAAAACAATAAATCTTTTCCTTTCCCTAACCTGTCACCAGGAGCCTTTTCAAACACTTCATAGTGTGCTGAACTTCCAGAAAGCACATTCAAACTCACACATTTTTTATTACTACTGTACAGCTTATTGAGCCTCTTAATTGCTTTTGTGTTGTAATAAATCATTTTCAGGAATCTAGGGTGGTTTATGAATGTACTGAACTCTGGGATATTTTTTGCTGTTTCTATTCTTTCTCTTACTGTTTCCGGAGCCAAAGTATAAATACCAAAACACCTTCTTTGTGCCTCACTGCTAATACCATATTCTTCTAAAATATTTCTTATTTCAACCAAAGTACTACAATTTCTTAAAGCCAGTTTAGGATGCATTCTTATAATTTCTTTGATATCAATTCCACCAATTGATCGGAAATTATGAATTATATTTTTCAAATTTTCTGGATCAACATGAATTAAATATAAATTAGATTTGATTTTATGATTAGGTATCATAATTTGTAACTGTAGTATTTTTAATGTTTCATTAATATGTTCTAAAGGACGATGTTTAATGGTTGGATAGGTGGTAACGCCTCTGTAAAACTCATCATTTGTTAGGTCCAACACCAGCTCTAAATATCTTTGTATAATTTTCAGTCGTAATGTATATAATGTTGATTTCTCAATATCTTCAGAAATTATCGAAGTAAGTGATGTTGGCCACTGGGTCATGTAGCTCGCAAGTCGGTTTTCAACATTTATGTGAGGATGTAGGTATTCTAAGGACTTCAGTTCTCCTACTTTCATTTGTTTGATGATTTTCAAGTACGATGATAAGGTTGAAATAGTGATATTCTGTATTCCACATTCATTCAATACTTTGTATCGAAATTTTAAAGTGACAGGTAAAGTTGCGAAAAGTGTAGGCTCTTCAATTAGCGAGTGGCAAGAGAATCCCAACTCATTTACTGTATTCATTAAACTTTCTAGGTTTTCGTTGCTCATCTTAGTTAAAATAGGATATTTCATACACAAGTAGTGGGCTTTGCTCTCAGTTAAGCTTAGATATTTACTTAAACTTTTCACATTATGAGTAGTTACCACATTCGTTGCACTACTCCGCATGTATCTTGTGCTTCTGAATAGGAGGTGTAAGAAATTACTCCTTTTTAAATTCATGACGAGGTACTGCATTTGAAATAAGTTAAAATTTACACAAACAACTAAACATCTTTGGTTCACCAATCAAATAAAAAAAAAATGAGATGATACCTCTTGTTATTATGATGATCTCGTCTCTCAAACTCTCAAGTGTCAAGTCTCGCACAATAAGCATTCACGTCAGACAAGATTGACACTTGACATTGTAATTAATACTTGACAGTGGGGATCATAGATCTCAGTAACATAGAGTTAGATTAGGTACAATAGAAATGTAAAAGCCAATCATATTAATTAGGAAAACTGGAATGGCTAAATTAACATCTTCATCCTAAGATGATATATTGTAAATAATGAGAATCTTTTGTGACATCTGCTGGAGCTCGCTGTAATGGTTTCTGGTTATAATTTATTTTATTTATTTATACTTTTGCACATACATCTGTGTACAAGGCGGACTTAATGCCACAGGCATTCTCTCCCAGTCGAACCTTTGACCTTTATAATGCAATCAATTTAGGTTTCCTTATTTAATAAATTCGGAATAAGTTATGATATTTTACAAGTTTCCATGGTCAACTTCACGCTGTTCTGTGGTCAACTTGGTTAACTCTGTCTTACAACGGTCTTATTACTGAACGAAATCAGGTAAATTTATAATCTGTGAAATAATTTGTTTACGGTATTTGACATTTGGTTTCTAGCCGTTCGTTGACATCTATGGGCGTGTCAGTGACTTATTATTTTTGATTGTTATTTCAAAATAAAATAATATTTTATCATGGTTAAATCTAAAACAGGGTTATTTGCCCTGGGATTTTTTATAGTCGCCTCATTATTTGTTATAATTTCTTTCATTAGTCCTTTTTGGCTAGTGACAGACGGAAAACTTAAGAATCCAAAGTTTATAAAAATTGGTATGTGATGCTAAATAATATGTATACAGAATATTTAATAAAAATTATAATATTTTCCGAAGAAATTGTTAACATTTGTCGTAATATAATTACAGGTTTATGGGAAGTGTGTTTCAATGGGTTTGAAGAGGTCCATCATTGGTATGACACTGTATTTACTGGTTGCTGGTGGATATTCGAAGAGGAATACTACATAATACATGATGTTCTTCTACCTGGTTTCTTCATAGCAACACAATTCTTTTTCACTATTACTATGTGTTGTGTTATTGTGTCAATGTTTTTATCTTACCTATACATGAAGAAAGACAGAGATGATGACAAATATCTTACACTCCTGGTAACATTGGGCACAGTTCTTGTTATTGGAGGTTTGTAAACATATTGAAATACATTTAACAGACATCTTTTTAAAAACAGTTTATTGAATGCTACATCAACTTTCAGGATTTTCTGGAATCATCTCTGTGGTGACTTTTGGTGCCCGGGGTGATGGACGTGATTGGATGCCTAACTGGGAACATAATGACCTGGGCTGGGCATTTGCCCTTGGAGTTGTAGGTGTAGTTCTACTTTTCCCTGCTGGAATTCTATTTTTGGTAGAAGCAAGAGTACAAAAGTACAGGAGACTTCATGAAATGCAGAGCAGGGAGCCATCATCTTACACTATGCATGAAAGAAAGGTTGGCTATGCGGGAGGGCATACTGACATATAGACAATTAGGCATTTTTTTATACTATAAAATAATGACTCCGTCCCATCAGATCTGACCTTTTTATTATGTACTAATTTTATGTTATATATTCATAATTATTATCTAGCAAACAAATAAAATCTACTAAATCATAAAGGGCATAGTAGGTTTTTGTATCATTTATATTTTAAAGAATGCCTTAAACTTAAATTGTCCGTCCAATATTTTCATTTTATATATATATTAAGATACTAGTTTTGACTGAGTATACATTATGTATTGTGCATTTTTACAGCAGTAGTGCTTTAATAAAATATATAAATAGAGCATTTAGACTAAGCTATTAACTTTAATATTATGAATAATTAATGTTTAAATGAAGTAGTAAGTATTAATCAATTTATACTTTTATAATATTTGTATTGCAAAAATAATGAATAGATATTACTATGGTTTGCAATATGAATGACACAAGCATTCATCATTATCATAGTGGTAACATACTTTGTTCCTCTATAAATATATGAATCTATTGACCATATTTTTTATTACCTAGTAACTATTAACTTTATAGGTATGAACCTGGTAGAATAACCATTCATAAACTATATTAAAATTTTAAATAATAAATTCAGATCATAAGTATATGTGCAAATATATTATTTTTGAGTTAATTTACTGTTTTGCCTGCCTATTTTTTATTGGAATGTTCATTTGTTGTAATTTTATTACATGTAACAACAACAACACAAATTATTAATTTACAAACTTCAATTTTTAACATATTTTTGTAAACTGTGTGTGTCTTAAATAAATGTTTTACATGTCAATGCATTTATAGCTATTTAATTAGTTTATACATAGGCTCCCTGAACCAGGATTTATTAATAGTATTAACATTGGAAGGCACAGTGTGTTTGCACAAGAGTGCCATTTTGGCAGCTTCAAACCCAATAAATATACAATGAGATTCCTTGTATCCAGAAAGCATTCCATGAATAAAGCCACTTGCAAAACAATCTCCTGCTCCTGAAACACTTTCTATTTTACTTATGGATTCGGTTGGATAATATTTTGCCTTGATTTCATGCCTTTCGTTTTTCAGTGTAATGACTCCTCTAGATCCCATTGTAACAATCATAAACTGTATAATGCTGGAAACATTGGAATACAGTTTTACTATTTCTTCAAATTCACAAGAACTATTTTTTTGTGGTGATCCAGCCATATCTGCCATCGCACGTAATTCCGATAAGTTCGGTGAAGCGTATGATACTTTGTATTTACTGCCGATGATTTTCCGAGCTTTTCTTCTGTCTGTTGGTTCGAAAAATACTGAAATCAAACAAAGTAACAATAAAAAAAAAACAAATAAAACAAATTGTACATTCGTAACACATAAACATTATAGACTGCACTGCGCCAGCTAACAAAGTTCTTATTTGTTAGTCGACTGACTTTTTGAGGTGGAAAAGTTATCTTTTGAGAAATCACTCCCGCCGCGTGAGACTTACTGCAAAGAGAATATAAGCACTATAGTCCGGTCAATTTAGACATTCGAAGTTACATAAAGTCCCAACAAGCTAACTTTCTGTGAAATTGTTCAAAACATAGTTATAAACAATGTCTAAAAGTTCCCCATCATTCCCTTGTAATATTAATAAAAATAGTAATAAAAAAATTATTATTAAAAAAACAAAATACCCGACTGCACACTAAAAAAAGAGTAAAACAAGCCCCACAATACAAATTTACTGAATATAATTTATAAATGTTGATGGAAAGCATCGCAGGCGGGGACCAACAGAGGCTTATTTATAGTCATTTCTGTTGTGCACCATTTAGCAGAATTTTCGTTGGTGGCGGTCAAGGTGGTCTCCGCCTGCGATGCTTTCCATCAACATTTATAAATTATATTCAGTAAATTTGTATTGTGGGGCTTGTTTTACTCTTTTTTTAGTGTGCAGTCGGGTATTTTGTTTTTTTAATAATAATTTTTTTATTTATAACTTTTTCCCGTGGGAATTTTGAGAAAAAACGTATCCTATATTAATTACTCCCGTGATTGAAATGAATCTAATGATACCGCATACATATTTTTTTAAAGGAAAATTTAGAAAAAATATTATTATGTCTTTATCCCGTGGGACTTTTAGGATAAAATGTATCCTATGACACTCCCGTAATCAAGACAAATCTAACGATACCTCATACATCAAAATCCATCAAGCCGTTTAGGCTACAGGAGGTCACAAAGGAAAAGACATACATACATACTTACATACACTCGAAAAACATTACCCTCCTTCTTTGGCAGTCGGGTAAAAATATTATTCAAGGTCAAAGGTAAAACGGTACGTTTTATGATAAAAGTACCTTTTTTTTTGTGAGGGGATCATCAAATAACTTCTCCCGCCCGGGGCCGGGCGGGATTGGAGTGTCAGACTCTTACTGACTAAAAACCCCCCTGTTCCTTCTCCTGCTCTGGGCCGAGGTCGCGGTGCCTCATTGCGCTTACCCCGCAACCCCGGCTGAACATCAGCCGTTTAGGGCCCCGTCTGTGGTGGTCTATTGGCTTTTTGAGGCGCGCGCGGAACGCTACGCGCCGTACGCTCGGGCCTGGTTCTGGTCGGGCGGCGAGCTGCGCTTACTCGCCGACCGCAGGCCCGTGCTTACGGTGGCCGGAGATCGTCCCTTGATCCCCGACGCCCGTAGTGTCGCCAGTTGCGGCTGCTGGGGCGTGAGGAGGAGGATTGCTCCCTCACGCGGGCCGCCTCTCTCTTTGCGAGCATGACTGCTTCACAAAAGGAGGAGACGGCGTCCCAGTTCCTCTCACTCCGCAGGAAATCACATTGAATCAAAAACAATAGAGTATTCGTTGAACTCCGACGAAGTATCATGCAATACATCGCTATTGACGCAATTTACTTGCATCCAAAATGAAGATAAAGAAGAAGTAGGAGAAGAAGAACAAGAATTTGAAACTTACGAACAAGACGAATAAACTTCAACACTTTTTTTTTAATTTACATCGCTTTTATATTTCCCAATCTTTGAAAATTTCCGTTATTTTGCGATAGGTAGGTAGTTTTACATTTAACAGGATCACAACTGACCCGTGGAGTAGGCCCAGTGCCTACTGAGGAAACCACGTTAAAAAATCGCGCTAAGTACACTACCTCATAAAAGTGGCGTGGAAAGGTGTGCATATTAAGACAAAAACAACTTTTATGAATTTTTGAATCGTTATATCTCAGAAACGGTGGCTTGTAAGAAAAAAGTGTTGATACATTATATAGATGATTTTATGAACTATAATTGTTGTCTGAGGTACTTTTATCATAAAACTTACCGTTTTGCTAAAAATCGAGAAAAACTCATTTTTCGACCTTTGACCTTGAATAAAAATTTTTCCTTACAGGGGAATGATGGGGAACTTGTAGGCATTGTTTATAATTATGTTTTGAACAATTATACAGAAATTCAGCTTGTTGCGACTTTATGTATCTAACTTCACTCTAATTTTTTGGTCTAAATTGACCGGAGTACTACTTTTAACTTACTGATTTAAAAACACCCCGTTCCTATTTCTGCTCAATGTGGGGTAGGAAGCAAAAAGGACATAACCACGTAGGTAGGTACATAATTTCGTTTGCAGTGCCTGCACCCGCTACCTCGGTATCTACAAAATTATGGTTGCAGTTGCAATTCTGGGTAGGTAGGTAGGTACTTTATTCACGTGTATACACGTGAGTAACCCGCGATTTTTAGTTAATGTAGTATGCCTCACGATAGTTATTATAAAAACACAGGTAGGTAGGTACTTTGATGAGTGATGTGTGTGTGTGGAACTGAACATGTTTGACAATAACGACACGATACCGGAGGAATCGATTTTCGAGATAGTCAAAAGTATTTGGTTTTCCTAGAATTACGCCTGTACGTGTAAGACAGTGTGAGAGTAGTTTGCAATTTATGGTTAGGTACGTAAACTATGTCTACGTAATCGACAATTTTTTGTATCAATCACAGGAACTGCGAGAAATCTCAGTTATACTATACATCATATATATTATGCATACAAATACTACCAGTCAGGAATTTCGTAAATTTTACGAAAAGGAACCGTTTCTTTCTAGGCCAGACTTTCATTCGCCAGTCATGTTGTTATTTAGTTCATAGATTCATTCATTATACGTCATATCATTCGTTCGTTGTCAGTTGTTGGGCGTTGATCAGTCATCACATTACAATTATTTGTTTTTGTGTTTAAAATTCTAAAAGTTTTGAATGATAAACTACTCTACTACTTGTTTAATAGTGTATGTGATAAAAATACATAAAGTAACAACAATATAGTTTAATTTCATTGGATAACACAACTAGTTTGGTAAGTAGGCTCATGCATTAAAACTTCGACTTCTTAACAAATTAATAATTTAAATAATGTGTTATTTATACATTGTACATAACTTTTTTTATAAATTACAACATTAATCCAGGCTATTTTTGAAATAACTAGTTATATAGACAACGTTAAAGGCTGATAAGCTTGCAAAAATTATCCTTGCTTCTGTTCTAGCAATAAGTCTTAATATTTAAACGTTACTAACATTACCTCTTGAATCTTTTAATATTAATACGATAGCTTACTTCTTATCTTATATACTACATCTATAATTACTACCTACATCTACATTTTCTTTTACTTAAACTTAACATTATTAAAGCAAGCATACATTAAAATTCTAATTCTACTACTAGTTACTACTAGTTACTAGTTATAGTTGAATTAGTTTTGTAGTGTAGTAAAAAATAAAAGATTATATCTTTAAATTTATGTATACTTTATATTTTTAATTTGGCAGGAGTATACTTGGTAGCCTTATATACTAGGTTCTGCCTGCGGATTCACACACATTTAAAGTAATGTGCCCTGGGATTTTAAAAACAGCAGCGTTTAAAGCAGTTGCTTGACAAAAAGATGCATATGAAGTATAATTTTATAGCCTGTAGCACTCGGAAACATAGTAGATTTTTACAAATTAAAATATTTTGTATTACATTGTATTATATTGTATTACATTCTTCAATTTATCAGTGTTTCAAATTAGTTCTGAAAAATAATTCAGTTATTTCAGGTTTGTTTTCAGTGCTTTTTAATTCATTCTGATTTGGCATAAATGTTGTAATAATGTGTGTAAAATATTTCTGTACCCTTTGAATATATACTAAACCAGTTACTTATTTATTTGCTTACTAACCGTTTGAAATAGCATTACAATTTTTATTAAAAAATTAAGCCTTGCATTGTTTTTATAGGTAATGTGATGTCTTGCAAAAATAAAACCTGGCCTTTCATTTGTAAACTCCTTTTTCATAAAAAATAAATGTAAATCAAATCAAATTCCAGAAGGAATTTGATTCATCATATCCAAAAATAAAATTGAAGTGGAAAATAAAAAATATTAAATGTAGTTTTGCATATTTATGAGTTCCCACAGTTAAAAGGCGTGTGAACATTTTGGCATTGTGTTTCTGGGTGAATGTTATGCTGTGTATTACACACACTGCCTCCATTGACTGTATTGCGAAACTCTTATGGAGTTATACAGGTAGTTAGGTAGACTTGCTATTCATCTCAGGTGTTTGACCTTGTATTTGGTGTAAAGTGACATACACTTATAAAGTTGTTACAAATTGCTCTGACATTGAATTTAACTAATTAACACGTAAAACACGGGCTGTATTGCTTTTGGTGAGTACTTACTTAGTGAGCTTTGTATTGTTAGATTGTATTAGAACAAGGACATTTGGAACTTATGTGCAAGTAACACAAATACAGTAAGTACTTGTTGTTGCATCAGTTGATACCATGAATGTTGAAATATTAATTTTATTTTAATTACAAAATATAAATAATGATTGTAGGGCAGTGCACTTTAAAGTGTTGAAATATTATGTATATATATTAAATTATAATGTAATATATTTTAAATGATAATTAAAGCAAATCGGATTGTAGTGTATAAAAACTCATAAGCCACATGTAAAGCAAAGTTTTTAAACCACACCCTAACTCTATGAGCTTGCTACTTAATGAGCTTAACACCTGTGAAATATTATATAAACGAAAACGGCTCCATTGAATCGTAGCGTGATGTTTTATAGCCTATAGCACTTAAGAACATTGTAGCTATCTATTAGTGAAAGAATTTGGAAATCCGACCAGCGGTTCCAAAGATTACATACAAACATGCAAACTTACAATTTTACCTCTTTATAATATTAGTATAGATTTTCCATATAACTCTTTTAATACGACACGGCCAAACCACGCATTCTCGCATAGCACGTCAATATTCTACACCCCCATTTAACCTCTGCTTCTTCTTCTATTTCTGTCCTACAATCAGAACCTAAATGTCCGTTTCTCGCGACCCTTGATTAGCGCACAATGCGCTAACATTCTGTGACCTTAATTTTCTTAACTCCGATTTCATACTAATTGAGTTAAAAAAATAAACAACCAATTTTTTTTGACACGAATTTTAAGCGAGACTACCGGTAGCCAAATCTTTTACCCTCGCCCTATCCCTTCCCAATCTTTAAATATCCGAAACCCCTATTCCTAAAAAGTCGGCAACGCACTACTTTGGTGTTGAGGTGTCTCATGTCTATGGCTGGCTTACCATCAGGTAATCCGTGTGCTCGTTTGCCGACCTATACCGCAAAAAAAAAACCAACCACTTAGATAGTGCCCGTACAGTCGATCAGATTTAATAGCGCTAATGACGGTACCTTAGAGCTTCTTTGAATACTTCTTTATGCAGCAATGTCAGGGGTGCCTATATTTGATACTTAAACTTGTCTAACGGAAAAAAGAGTAAATTATTGTTATTAGTTTTAATAACAAATTATTGACTAGACGGCATTAAATTGATGACACATCAACGTTGTGTCTACTCGTCTGCGTGTATGTAAAACAAGAAAAGTCTCGGCAATAATAGGTACGCCTGTTGACCCATTTTATTAATCGACCTTAATTGGTGCACAAAAGACATTACAAGTACCTACAATATGCAGTTATGCAGTAACCACAAAACTAAAGAACGGTTGATTAAAACAATCGACTGAAGGCCAAAAATTTTCGAAAATGCCATCAAAATCCTATATTCTTTCCTATACTCAATAATTTTGCTTATACCATTATTATCTGTGCTTTTCGCCAAAGTACCAAGCATTCTGTGAGTAATTAACACATGTATGCACTAACTACTTGAAAATCAGTTGTTTATTTAATATGGACATCTCTTTGAAGTTGGCAGTACCTACCTATTTTTTTATCAAAGATTCATTCAATACCTTTGCATTATTTTGTTACAGAGACAATGAAGAATAGAAGTTTGGCCGGTAATTGTGGCATTGGCGTGTTTGTCATTGCCCTTGTTACTGTGGCATTGGCATTCGGTACGCCCAGCTGGTTGGTCAGCGACTCCAGAATAAGAGGCGCCAAATTAGATAGGTTGGACACATAAATACGGAAACATACATAATTAGCAGACCTTTTTTGTTAAGAGAACATCTTCTAAATGTACTTATAATAGTAGAGAGCAGTGACTAGCATAAAGCAATCTATTGACGAATAGGTAGGAATATAATGTGTATTGTTAATGTTATTTCTTTTTGTCCTTTAGATTAGGTTTATGGAGTCACTGCTTCAGATCGCTGCCAGATCCCCTCGACCAATACCAAAGGCGGTTCTTTGTTGGCTGTCGTTGGGTGTACGACCCCTTCACGACAGGATATGACAAGATTCGTGGATATTTACTCCCCGGTTAGTGGTATTTCTCTAATTTATTTATACTTGTATGACCAATGTTCCGTGACGTACCTACGTTAAATGGTCAAAATTAGCAAAAAATAATCATATTAATTTCTGTAACCTCATGGACTATAAAAATTAAAACTTTTTGTCATTATTTAATAGATGCTTGTTCAGCAAACCATATTCTAAATTATATATTTTTTGCAGGTTTCATGATAGCGACACAGTTTTTCTTCACATTGTGCCTGCTAGGAGTTTTAATATCTACAGTACTAGTGTTGATGTTCTTCTTATGTTGCGGACCTGATCAAAATAGATTTGTAACTTTGATAAAGAGTATTGGATATATTATGTTAGCTGCAGGTAAGACCCTACGTTACATTCGATCTCTTGAGCACTTGAGCTTTATGTTCGGTAACGCCAAAATTGTTCTACGAAACTACTTAAACATCGAACAAATGACCATCCCTTGAATGAATCCATGAATCCCTTGTCAGACTGGAATTTGATCTCGACAATACATATTTTTTGTAAATCTTGACACTAAATACTAATTAATTAAATCTCTTTAATAAAACTGCGTTTTTTAATCGTTTGACACCATAAGGTACTCGATTAACTTCAAGCCACAATAGGGAACTACATGCTGGACAACCGCATAAATCGTCTGAAGATATTAATAGTTTATTTTATTTTAGGTATATGTGGAGTAATTGCAGTTATAGTATTTGCATCATTGGGTAACACAGACGGGTGGATGCCAGATCATCCCAACAATTATTTAGGTAAGCCTTCTGTTCTGACAAAAGTTATATTTTATTCATCCCTAAAACCTCACTTTGAAAATACATATTTTGAAGTCAAAATACGACTTCGTACTATGCAATAATTAATGCCTCCTAGCTAGCTGCTAGCTCTTCTTATTGAATTTATTCTAAAATCTATGATAGAGCAATATTGATAAATAATACCTTTTTTGTTTCTTTACAGGTTGGTCATTCGGTTTGGGTGTCGTCGGTTCCGTGGCATGCTTAGTCACCTCTGCACTCTTCCTGACTGAGTCAAACATCCAGGCAAAGAAACGTAACAAGATGAAAGAATCTCAAGCTCGATTTGAGTTAGAATACGAAACAAAAGCATAACACTAAACAAAAATCACATTTAGAATTAGTTTAATGTTAAGAAAAATAAGTAAATAGGCAGGAATGGAAGTCTCGACTATGATTACGATAGAAAAGAGTTGCTAGGTCATTAATAGATTTCTAACTTTATTACAACTGTGAAAGCCATTACGATTTTCACGACTTAGCGACCGAATTCTGGCCTTATGAATATTGGGACTGCTAGTCCTGGCTGTTTCTATAAAGGACAACTATTTCTGTAAACCACAGGACTTAATTTAAGCAATGTTTATGTCTCGAATTATATTAAGATCTGAAGAACCATCCGTCCAAAATGGTTAGCGCAAATGCCAATACATGTATGTATTTGTTGTTTTTATAATATTACCAGTATTTTGCTTTAGATATACATAATCATATTTTAGCAATTAATTATATTAGTTTACGTATTTTTCTAGATCATTTTCTTTTTTCTTTTGTATTTTTACCAAATATGTCGACAAGATTTGTAGGTAATACTTGGCTTGGATGTTTGAATGAGTGCCAGATTTGTTATATTTAATGGACTACCTCCACTATTTTATTTTGCCGTAAATATTTTGCTTTTAATATTACACGTACAATTGAATTTTAACGAAATATTTGTATAGACCAAAACTGTAGAGTGTAGATTGATAGAGTGTAGCTTATTGTAAGGGTTACTAAAGCACACAAACTTTAGAGCACTTTATCTAAAAAATCTATCTTTGTTATAGTATAGTTGGTGTATAGGAATGACTTTTCGAATGTGCCTTTAATATTATATACTTGACTTGTTAATTCTAGAGACAACAATGCTGTTGCATTTTAAGTACTTGATATTATTTTAAAAGACATGATTATTAACAATGTACCTTCTTAAATGCCGTCCATATTTTGGGTTGTTATATTAAGTAATAAGTAAGAATATAATTAGATTTATATAATTTTTAAAATATGTACGAAACGATTTACTGCCTTATCACAATAAAGTTTTTATTTTATTAAACTTAATTTTGTTTTACTGTATTTGTACAGCTTGCAGCCTATATTTTATTTACTGAATGAGTATTTTGAAATAAAGATAGGAGAACTAGGTATTATTAGTCCAAACTAATATTATAAATGCGTAAGTAACTGTCTGTCTGTCTTTTCTTCACGCCTAAGCTACTGAACATATTTGTGTGAAACTTGGTACAGACATAGTTTTGAACTCGAGAAAGGACAAAGGATAGTTTTTAAACCAAAAATCTGCAGAAAGTCACTATTCCACGCGAAGAAATTCGGGGGCAAAAGTTAGTTATTAAATAATTGTGCTTAGAGTATTTACTATTTTCAATTTATTTTTCGGAAAATATTGTTGATACACGCAAAAAATATGCTTATAGTTTGTATAACTTCGTAAATTCGAGAACAAATAAAATAATGTTAAAAAATTTGCTTCGATGATAAATAAAATAAATAATTGACCTTACGTGGACAGTTGGACACACCTTTATGAACGAAAAGTGAATGACTCGAAACGTGACAGTTTTACGCATACTATTTTTAGACGAAAGTTGTAACATCATTTTGCTTTGCACAAAGAATGTCAACGTTAACGTCTCTTATGTCATTAGTGTCACATTTTGTTGATTTTGTTACAGTTGAAAACGCTTGTTTTCGTTTTAATATTTAATCGTTAATGTGACCACTTATAGTTTCTTATAAAATATTACAACAATAACTGATTAAATATAATCAACACCATGACAGCCGCGGACAATGAGTATCCTAAGGCTTCAAGTAAGTAATATTTACATCGGGCACGCCCATACAATTTGGAAATTTGTTAGATTCTTATGATCGGGATGATTATTAGTAGTTTTGTAACGAGCATTATGTTTTGAAAGTTATGTATGCAAAAAATAAATGATCTCTTATTTACAGACGCGACGCTCATCGGAGCCAGCCTAACGTATGTCGCTGGCCTATTTCTCCTGTTATCATTTGCCGGTCCCTATTGGATCGAGTCGTATCCTGAAATGTTTTCAAGTTTCAAACACATGGGCTTATGGGAGTACTGTTTCGATCGTTTTCGTTTCCCTTCATATCAGTTTGATAAACTGTTTCATGGGTGCCACTACATCTTTAGTGAGGTAACTACATAAAACATACATTCACAAACTAAACATCAATATGATATTGCTATTTTTGAAAATATATAAAACAGTATCTACATGGTATTTTACTTATTGGAATTGACACAATCACAGACACTGTACCCTAATGTTTGCTATTGTCTATAGATTTTGAAATTATTATAAAACTTTGTTTCTGTATAGTTATACTTCATGGCTAACTTGTAAACAAACTGTGTGTTTTAGGAATTCTATGTGATCCGAGAATGGTTGCTGCCTGGATGGTTGATGGCAGTGCAGTCATTTGTGACCTTGGCTTTGATATTGTCTTTCTCATCTCAAGTATTGCTGGCATGTGTTATAGTGAGATGGCCACTCCGCACTGTGTTGCGTTATGAATGGATTTTTGTTACTTCTGCCTTCATTATGGTAGCTATTGCAAGTAAGTTTTTAATACCTTTTTGTTTTTTTTTAAGTAACACAGTACTTTATAGCACAAAAACTAAACTAATAGTGCAATAATTAAAAACTTATTTAAGCATGACACTTGTGCTATTAGTCATCTGTGAACAAACTGTTAATGGGTTTGTATTGTACCTGCTTTGCAATCAAAATATTTTGATATGAATCTACATTTTATGATAAATAGTGATTATAATGATTTTTGAATTGTTTTTGGTGTACAATAAAGTGTTTTGTGATGTGAAGTAATCTGTAAGTGATTGTATAAACTTTGTTCCAGGTGTGTTCCTGTTTCTGGCAGTAGCCATATTCGGTGGGAACTGCTATCGTCGTGACTGGCTGCTGTACCCTTCTTTCAATGTTCTGTCATGGTCATATGCTTTTGCTGTAGTTGCCTTTATTTTGTTTGGTAAGAAAATGACATTATTTTTATTTAGGTTACAAATATGTCCTTATGTTATATTAATCATATTAATAAACATTTCATATTCATATTTATTAAACAAGATAATGTGTGGTAAAGAATAAGACAATAATACAAGTTATTTTTTTCATAATACAAAAAAAAAACATTCTAAAGAGATTGCCCATTAATAGTTTGAAACTAGAATAAGACTTACGGGTATCCACATTATTATTTCGACTAATTTATGAAATAAAAAAAATGTTTATTTAATTGCAGGAGCTGCAGCTATTCTTCTATACTTGGAATCCCGAAAGCTTTATGAACTTCGTTTGGAAGCAAAGAATTTGGTGGCCCAGATGCAACACAGTCAGCCTGAACATGCCCTGCATCAGTTGCGTGACCAGTTGCAGCAGCAACGTCAAATGGGTTACATGTAAAATCAAACTAAATTACATATTTTTCGATGTACTTTAAACACGTAGCTCTATATTGAACACAAAGTAGAACATATTTTTATGATTCTTTAGGTAATTAATATACAGGTTCGTTAACAATATTCAACATAATCTCAGGCTAAGGCCGCAAGATGGTTATTTCCGAGCGTGCGGTTAACCACCCTCACCGCGAATCCGCAAAACTGACTGCTATAGTTTTTCAACCTTTATTCCCACCACAAAGTTATTATGCAGCAATGACTTGCAAATCTTAGGGTTGCCACAATTTTGTAACATTTCATAGTTTTAATTAGTCGCAGTAAATACTTGCGACTGTTTGTATTCATTGTCTTGTTTAACGAACTCGCCGCACTGATTTAACTGAAGTGCTGTTTTTTTGCACCATGATTGTCTTTGAGATAGAAAACAATTACACAGCTGTCAATAAAATAAAAGCTTGTGATGCAACTAGACACGAGTTCCAACATGTTTACGTAAGATTACTAAATCTTGTCACTAGTATTCTACACACCGAGTGCGCAATATTACGTACAGTATTTACCACATGCCTTGATTTTCCAAGGAGGACTAATAGTCTTCCTGTGTTTTTTTTACATTTCAAATTATTCACAAGTGCGTGAAGGGCAAAACTTCAGTTTTATATAACTGATAGAATCTCAAGAAAAGACAATGCTGTTTTAAATGTTAGGCCTTAACATATTTTACTGGATTTGTGTTGTAATGTAATTAGGTTAATTGGTTTTATTTTCACTCTATGTACTTATGTATTTTGCCGTCCATTAATAATCTCAAGTGACTTTTAGCTATGAATTGAATTAGGAATTAATTTTATATTTAAGTATGATTCATTTATTTTGCACTTTACAATTTTAATTTTTTGACTGAATTTTTTGTTCTGTATGAGTATCAGTAATTATTATTTTTAAGTTATACTTAATACTAAGTATTGTAATATGTACAAGAATGACATTGTATTATTTTTTTTTCTATGTAAGTTTACATTTTTTTCTTAACAATTAGTTTTTGTATGTGTATGGTATTTGCTTAATCGAAATATATTTAAATTTAATTAAGTTTTGATGAAAAAACATGAACATGTACCTAATGAAATGAAATGAGTGCCTTGAAGAAAATTAAGCAGCTGTAAACAGTGCCTTCGTGTATCACAGTTGTTAGTTATAACAAATCCGTCCGAAAAGTAATCTCATTTGTATGCCATTCCAAGGATGAGCCCTGATTTTATGTACTGATAATTTTAAATAAATAATATTTTAGTGTACTAATGATTTTACTCCGATCTATTCCTTTATTTTTGTTCGTCATCACACATACAATAATTACATACTCTTTGTAGTTATTTAGCTGAGGTCGAATTTATCTCAATTTTTCAGTAACAACCTGGACAACCTTCGGACATCCCGGCGTACGGCAAATATCCACCCTAACGTTGTTGAGACACCTGCGGCCCGGACTAAGCGTTTTACCTCGTCATTTATACCGCGTACATCGAGGGATTGGAACAGTTTGCCGGCTGCAGTCTTTCCGTCCAAATATAATTTAGGTGTCTTCAAGGCTAGATTAGAATTAGATTAATAAACTAGTGCGCCTTACCATCAACGATTGCATCACTGCTTACCATCAGATGGGATCGCAGCCAAGCACTAATTTATTGCAAGTAAAAAAAAAACAAGAATAACACATTGTTAAAATTGATAAATCAACTCACCAGGTTTTCGTAGACGTTGGCAAACGTCTAGTACGTGGTCGATAGTAGCCTGGGGCACATTGCCATCGAGGATCACCAGCGGAGCATCGTGCAGGATACCAATATGCTTGTTAACCTGTCATAAAACAATGACGTCACTACTAGTGAATTCAAGCGTCATTCATTATTCCAACGAAAGTAGGTTAATTGAAGGCTTTTGTTTGATGCTACCATTAGATATACATATCTAAGCTACCTGTATCTAACAAACAAGTTTAAGTAGGTATGTATTAGTTATTTATTACAAGCAGCGTATAGGTAAGTCTAATTTACGCGCATAGCGTGGCGCGTCGTGTGGTCCGATTTACATTGCTCATAATGTTCATTATTTTGTGTTTCGTCGGGCGATAACACGGTCAGCTGCTGCAATGTACGACAAACACATTACGTTCTGCGTGTGCGTTTACGAGCCCTTACCTTGTGTCGGTGACTATCGGATCTATACGTTCTCGTAGTGATAACAATTTTCAATATTTCATGAGGTAGCAATGTCACCATCCCAACCGCTATCATTCATGGCCCCAGTTCCACGTTAACGTTCCATCATAAAATAATATTCGGAGGGTACGAAAACACATAATTTTGTCGTAAAGGGAAAGCTTCTACGCAAATATATCATTGCGTAGAAACGGCTTTACTGTGCCGACATATTGTTATACCTTCACGATCCACAGTGCGGTGGTGGTATACGTACTTTATATTCACTTCAGTTCAAATAACAGGGAATCTATTTTGATGTTTGTAAAATGTTTCTATTTAACATTTTTTCTGTGCAAAAACAATCTATGCGATTGATAGGCATACCAGCTTCAATGGACTACTGGGTACATACATACAATATGAGTGTTTTATTACATCGAAATCGCTGTCAATTATCTTCAAACTCCTTATTTTACGTAAATAGAAAACTTCTTTTATTAATTAATACTAGTAGGTACCTACGGTAGGTAGAATACACTACTATTAATTAATAAGAGAAGTTTATTAATTTAGGTACCTACATTTTTAAAATCTTTGAATAATTAATTAGGCACATATATTTTTTGTTTAACTAACATAAAATGTAAATTTAAACTTTAATTACGTATTTTAAAAACTTCCAACCACATTCATATTGAAGTCAACATTCGTGCTTAGTAATATAAACAAACAACACGCGAGTAGATACTTGTGTTGCGTTATTATAATACTTTACTTGACAAAGTAAAGTATTATAAGTATCTAGTATTATAATACTTTACTTTGTCAAGTAAAGTACCTATTATAATAACGTAACGTAATATTCTACGTAGTTGTACTATACAGTTCGCGACGCGCGGCGTAGCATATCTCTAGGTGGCGTAGCACACCTATTCGCCGCGAGGTGCATTCGGTACTACGCAATGGATAACTATACTTTCTATTATTTTATTTTTTTTAAAACGTTGCCCCACACTTTGGTTTTCTTCTGTATCGTGGTCGCGTTTAAAACATACACAGACAACATACAAGAACAACAATTTGTAGATCTAACAAAGAGTTGTTCCGTGCGGTAATCGAACCCCCGACACGCTGCGTGGCGGTCAGTTGCCCAGCCACCGCGCCAACTGCGCAGCCAATCTACATACTTATACTTAGTTATAAAAAACAATTACACTCGTGAAGTAATCCTATTCGAAGTAAATTCTTCTAAACTATAAGTTCCTATGTATTTAATATTATTTGAATGTTTTTACCTACCAAGTCAATTGAGATATTATTGTGCAAAGCCATGTCACCCAGCCCGATCAGACATTCGCCCCGAGAGTCCATTACGGCAGCGTACGAAGGTGTACTGGCATTTTTTACGATACAGTCTGCGAACGATAAGGAACACATTAGGTACATATCTACGTCATTATCTAAAGAGTAGCAAGAAAAGTATCTTTATCGAAATGTACTTCTTGGTACATGATGTTGGAGTCTATATATGTTTCGATATTTGAATTAATACTATATTTCTATGAGTAATATTTCTGTAGGCATTCCATCATCTCACGGTGCTACGAGCTACGGCTACGGCTACGGCTACGAATTTGACTGATATTTAATGCTATCAACTTGTATAGGTAGGTAAATAAAATTATTGCTTTTGTTTTTAGTGAATGACAATTTAAAACCAATTTTCATCCAATATATTTAAAAAAAATTACAACTTGTAAATTTAATACTATTGGTTGGATATACCTATATAATATAAGTACCATTTAGTAATAACCCTGGTGCAATGTTGGCCAAATATTCTCCATCTGCATCATCTCCCACGGCAGTAAGGAGTTTGGTTCTGCCGCCGCGCAACCTCCATAGAGCTTCAGCCATGTTGCGTCCTACGCCACCGCCGCTCTGCTCCGTGAGACATGCGTGTGTGCTGCCATCCAACTGAAAAAATACCATCATTTACCTATACACTTCAAAATTTGGATATTTTCCTCCGTTAAGATATATTATTTACATATTTTCAATAGAATACATTTAAATAAGATAAGTATGCAAATCATAACAAGCAAAGTAAAATTTTGTAAACTAAATTTGATGAATTTAGTGTGTATTTTACACAAATTCCGTGTATCATCAAAAGTAATCTTCCGCTTGAGCGACAAACGCCTAGACACTAGACTGCATTTCTGTTAGAACCGCCTTAAAGACAGGAATTTCCTTATTTTAAATATGAATCAAATAATTTTTCTTATGCACATGAAATAACTCAAGAGACGTCACGAAAAATTTATATCGCTGCTGTTGAAGTCCAAGTCATATGTAAAGTATGACTGTAGTTGCATGCAAGCATGTCCCACACGTTTCAAGAAAATATTCCGAAATGTCCATCTACTGTATGTAGCCTACTTACATTTTTCCATTACACTGTATATTTTAGTATAATGTGTTACATAGCACTGTGACCAAAAGGAAGTGCTTTATTGCATGTGAATTTTAATTGCAGGGCTGTTCATGAAGGGTCCGCTTGGCGAGTAGCGTGGGTAGTTGTAACGAAGTAGTGATGTGGCGCTGTTCGTCAACTGCATTTAAATGTCACAGAACAAATGTCGAGGTCTCTTGAATTTAATTAATCAGACCATATTTGAAAATTACTTCAGTGTTTAAGCATCATCACATTTCTACTATTGGCTTCTTATTACGGAGATAATGTTATAGACAGTAGTTAATAGATGTTTTCGGGATTTTTATATTCGACAAGCGATGACATTTACATTTTTTATCTTGTTGATTGCACGTGTAGAACATTCCTACGTAAACAAAATTGGATAATGTTGTGACGAGTGAGGGGTACGAGTACGTCACTAAAGCAGTGCATGTCGGGCAGCAGGTGCGGCGGCGGCGTCGGCCTGCTGTCCGGTCAGTGGGCTGGCGGTCCCCGGGCGCATGCCGTTGACCGCATTGATGCTATCAGCGACCACCATGCTGCCGCTGCCCGCAGTACACCACTGCATTATGTGATCCATTTGTTTTTGCGCACAGATTTATGCTACGCTAATGTTTTTACGTTTGAACTTATTCAATTATATTTGTTGCTGCGGAATTTCCAGCTTTCCGTGTCGCATATATTTTCTTGACTGACATTGTTTCGTGTGAACTGTGAAGCAAATGGTTTTGAATATTTTTATGGCGTTTCAGGTGGATGAATGCCAGTAGGTACTGGTTGATTATTCAGATTTATGTGTAGATAGGTAACTTACATTTTGATTGAAAGATTTACAAGGGTACCAGAAATACATTTGTAGATATATTCGTTTTTATCGATAACTCCTTTATATGGAGTGCGCGCGTCATGTAAATCACAGTTATATATTGATAAACACACTGTGGACCACCCACATTGTACGAGTTTCAAATTACTCATGGATGAAAGCAATAAATTGATGAGTTTAGTGACGTCAATGTCCATACATTGATTAATGTGTTCGAGTTAAGGGTTTAATTGTATTAGGGTTGACTGTCCTGAACATTGATTTAATTAAATATTTGTTTGTAGTTTACGCGATATAATAAATACTGGCTGGAGTGATTCATTGGCGTTCTGTGCTAAGAGGTTTTATTTCAAGACCCTAAAATCTTGAATAATACCATGGTATCCACTTTTACAGGGGTGAAAATCTTAAGTTGTGTTTAAAAAGAGGTAACTACATAAACAACAACCCAGATGTACCTAGTTAATCTGTATTTACTCTAGACTAATCGTAGACAATGCCCTCCCTTACGAAATATTACTGGTAGTCGACCCTATCACGTGTTTTTTGAATTTAGTATGCCACTGCTTTGTAAATGCAGTTGTAGATTTTGAACTCGATAATCAAAGGAAAAACAGCTTTACTACTCACCGAACAAGGGTCGTCTTTGTGTGTGAGAAATAATTGAGTTCGGCGCACTGGGGTAGACATGTGCATTTAGCAAGGTTTTTTTAGGATAATGCCCGAATAAAACCATGGATATTGAATGTTAATACAGCCCAAAGAGAATATAACAAATTCTCTTTGATACAGCCAGAGAGTAAAACGACTTTTGAGATGTATACGTAAAAAGTACGATAGTTTTACAATTAACGGTAAGATGAAATGTGTAGGCACTTTAACGTATGCTGAGACTACTCAGTTACTACTGACAGCTCTACAGAACACCATCCGAAACCCCAGAACCAGTGCATCAGTTAACAGACAATGTATTGCAATTTGGGTAACTCTTTCTCTTTTTTTAAAAAACGTTGCCCCACACTAGGTTTTTCTCCTGTATCGTGAGTGCATTTACAAACATACAATTCCAAAGGCACATCACATTCAGACCCGGAACAACAATTTGTGGATCACACAAAGAGTTGTTCCGCGCGGGAATCGAACCCGCGACACGTTGTACGGCAGCCAGTTGCCCAGCCACCGCGCCAACCGTGCAGTCAAACTCTTAATACCATAGATTTTCTATTCTGATACATACTTTTTTAGCAATAACTATTTAGTATATAAAACAAAGTCACTTTCTTAGTCCCTAAATACCTTGTATGCTTAACTCTTTAAAACAACTCAACGGATTTTCATGATGTTTCATTTAATAGATAGAATGATTGAAGAGGAAGGTTGAAATGTGTAACTAGCTACTCTTACGCGGTTTCACCCGCTGCTCAGCTGCAGATCGTAGCGTGATGTTTTATAGCCTATAGAACTCAGGGACATTGTAGCTATCTGTCAGTGAAAAAATAATTTTGGAAATCCGACCAACGGATCCAAAGAATCCTCCGAACATACAAACTTACAAATTTTACCTTTTTATAATATTAGTATTGCACACATGCAAAGCTCGCTAGTTTTGTTATAAAGAAAACTGTCACATTTTAATAAAGAAAGTGCTTGACAACAGTTTTTAATTTATTTAAGAGTAAACCAAAAATAAGTAACTAGGACTTATATTGCATAAAATCACCTGTATCCTCGTAAAAGAGGAAAGTGAAAAGGCCCAGAAGGCTGGCAATGCACAGCTAGCTGTATAGCAATAGCTTTACAAACCGCAGACATGTTCTCTGGTTCAGCCGGGGTTGCGGGGTAAGCGCAATGAGACACCGCGATCTCGGCACAGAGCAGGAGAAAGAACAGGGGGGTTTTTAGTCAGTAAGAGTCTGACACTCCCTCCTGCCCGGCCCTGAGCGGCAGAAGTCATTTTCCCCTCACAAAAAAATAAATGAAATAAAAGACATGTTTTCTGGTCATGAGACACATCGACCAGGCTTTATGCTAAGTGTAGGAGAGCCATCAGCAGTGGGGGAGAGCCATGATTCAGCACGAATGGGTCGTCTCAACCGAAGCCATACCATGTCACACAGAAAACCGGAGTGAAACAACCACAGCGTTCTGTTTCGCTGAGTGAGTGAGGTTACTGGAGGCCCAGTACTTCCCTTCCCCCAATCCTTTCCCAATCCCCAATCCCCAAAAGATCGGCAACGCACTCGTAACTCCTCTACTGTTGCGAGTGTCCATGGACAGTGCGGATAGCTTACCATCAGGTAATCTGCGTGCTCATGTGCCGTCCTATCACCACACCACATAAAAAAATATTTAAAATAAACTATGAGCAGTAAGACCCAGCGGGCGTAAAGTTTCAACCCCAAACGACATAGTTACCGGCTTGTTATATTTGCTTGAGGTTTTTCTGCAGTGGCAGCCGGCAAACCAGCACAACCCACCGTAACTGGAAGATGAAAATGTTCAAAACTATCGACTTGCGCCCCATACCAAAGACTTTTCCAACTTCCAGGTCATAATGGACAAGCCCCCAGGTCTCCTATCGTCGTCGTGTGCCAAGCATAAAAATCACTGTGATCATCAGAGGATAATAGGATGATAGTTGGGTAATAGTATCCTAGTACATTAGTAGCACACACGTCTATATAAAATATTGTAACAAACATCTAATTAATTTGGGTGATGTAATTAGGAAGTTGAACAAGCGTTTGAATCGATTAAGAAATTATGGGCAAATGAAATATGAATAAAACCCGTGACGGAGTGATGTTAAAGCGTTCATTTAGTTAGACAGCCACGCCTCTCGCTTGCCACGTTATGATAGCACTCACTCAGGGTTCACTTTATTATTCTCACAAAAAGATGAAAGGAGAATAAACGCGTCGTTACTCAAGTATTTGTCGAGTACCAAGACGTGGCTGGAAACGTATTGGAAAATATCTGTGTTTTTGCAATAATCTGTTAAATTTTTATAAACGATTTTGCAATGTGGGAGGGCGCTGGGAAGGCGGCGGTATCGAGCGTGGGCGCGCCGCCCTAGCGGGACAGAAGCCCTACAGTCGAGTCCGCGGAGAGGCCGAGCGCGCACGCCCGACGCCGACGCTCGCTCTCACCGCTCGCCCCGCGCACACCACGCTGCACATGACACTGTGCCCCACGTACACACGCCGCGCCGACAATTGCACGTGTATGCATCCGCCGACCACCGCCACCGGACGCGTGTTCTACGATACAAACCTTGTTGAATAAACGTCACGTGTAACCTTCGGCCCTATAACAAATAATTGGCTCGCCAAAAATATTGTAAATTGATAGTGTGACATTAAATATCATGATACGTGTCAGAAAAACAGTGTTTATCGTGTAATTTGGGCGGCGGCGAAACGTCTGCGTCATGCTACGAGGTAACTAACATAATATTGTACTTACTGTAACTAAGTTATTTTCTTAACAATTACGTTGTAGTTGACAAAACGAGTATTTAATACCTAGTTAATCTCCGTGGGTGTTAATGCGACTAATAACTTAATTGTATTAAGTTCAAATCTGGTATCTGCTTACCTTTTCGGCGAGATTTAATACTTGTCGTTCGAATATTTGAAGCAATTTTACGAATAAAGTGTTGGTAACTTGTGTGTCTGTTAACTGTAGTTAACGCTGTAATAACCTTATTATACAAACAAGATAATATTGAAGAACGCTAAGGGTCTAGTGGTTGATTTAAAATAGACAATAATTGGTGGTTACGCGTGCTACGACTAGGCGTATTGTCATGAATTTTATACAAGAAAATAATGTTTCAATGGTTATGCCTCATAATAGGCGTAATTACAGTAAAAGTATCAGTTAATAATACCCTTTCCCGGCCGATGACATGCTGTTATGAAAATAATACATCATTATATTGACGGTGGTGACAGGTATGTGAAGCAGTACGCTGTAGCGAGTAGCGAGTAGCGGTCCGTAATGATACTAGAATTCACCCCGGGGACAGGTTCCGGAACAGGGATCAAAGTAAAAGGATTTTAGTTTCCCGTTTAGACTATTGGTATGGCTGCCTTTGGCAGTGTTTCGGTATTTCATGTAGCAATTTTCTTGTTACTATTTGATCAGCAGTTTATTTTGTGAAACCTGAAACTGATTACTCCGCAGAATTTTATACAAAGCAAATATATCAGTGATAAACATTTTGCGGCGTCGTTATTTTTCCACAAAATTAATATGGTTGAATAAGTATTATCGAAGCCTTAACCGATCTTGTCAGATATAAAATTCAGTACAACTTGAAACTATTATCAGTTTACAATTAATATAGTATTACTATTTCAGTATTTTCTATTATCAGTTAACGTGGCTCAGAAATAAATCTGTTACGTACGGACCTATGTTTTGCGAACCATTCAGTTCTCATTGTTTTCCTTTTAAAACGTGACGGGAAAAATAAGTGTTGTTTGAAAATCGAGAAATAAGTGAATGAGGGTGAAGTCCAGACGTTTGCAGAGTGAAATACGAGACGAGAGTTATTAAACCTTGTGAATGATTGGATAAAATATTTTTTTGTTCATGATTGAGAAAAACGTAAAATAGAATTAATCTGTACTGATATATAACACAATTTTTCCATTACGTGTAACTTGTAACTACATCAATATTATCTATCTCATGTATTTCCAACGATTAGTTTAATTTTAGTGAGGTTTTATCATTATACTGGAGCATGGCTTTCCGAATTAACCTACACAAGGGTGCAGGTATGGGCAAATAATTCGAATGATTTATTTACGATGTCCCTCGCTCGGTTGCTCCTTTCCATAAATTAGAGGCTTTACGCCAGAGGTCTTATTTCATTATTAAATTATATAAGGGACCTGTAGGTGATATAACGTTCAGCCCAAATATGTTTTATAAAGGCTGGAAGGATTTTTAATTAAAGTTATTTATGTAAAAATGAATTCTAGTCATTTTTATTTTTTTCCAATCATGTTTAGATCAGAGAAAACTTACGCGGATTTTAATATATAGTAAGCAGTATTAGATGACGTGTCGTAAATATTCTACTTAGTTTACCTTAAACTGACCACATTATTAGGTAAATCTAATCAAACTACAGTTTATTTCAGTCTACATACATTACGTGATCGATAGGTGGTTGTTAAGCAAATTTCAGTCAAGACCTTCATGGTAACCATCATTGGGAACGCCCCTAATCAGTGATCGAATGGAGAATAATATTTTTTTGCCCGCAGGGCACCTTGAGGCGAGGTGACGGGAATTAGCGATCCCGCGGGCTACCATCATCCCGATTGCTCCAGGGAGGAGTCACCGTTCCTTATCTCCGGCTTGCCTTCATTGGCTGGTCGGAGTGAACGATGACGAGGAACAGGTCTCCCACCTCTGGCTTGCCTTCATTGGCCGTCCAGAGTGGAGTCGCGAGAGTAGTGATCCTGCTCGGAGGGTGGAAGCTGTTCGTAAGCGGCGAGTGGGCCAGTGATGCAGGATGCTTAGGCAGATGCAGATGATCTGAGTAGAAAGCTGGTGGCAGTTTCTTCACCCTTCAGCCACTCACATTTCCGTTGTCCCTCTGTTGCTATTACTAGCGACCATACCCGGGGGCCCGGTCGGTGAGTTGGCGAGTCTCCACCTGCCATTTTTACGTGTAA